GCACAATGAGCTCACAGAAATGGCCTGCTCTGGGTGCATTTTAGGGGGGACGGGGGGGGGGGGGAGAAATGGCCTCCATGCAATTGCACTGTGCTTTAAACCCATGATAGAATCCTCCATAGATAAGAGAATTATCATCTACCCTTAATTATTTTTATCAATGGAGAGTAGAAGAAAAATCTGAAATAAAAAGTATGTCACAACACTCACTTTGAAATGTGTCTAGTGTTATAAACAAGAGATTTATTCCCTCTGCACACACCCACCAAGCCCAGACCCTATCACGCTGCATTCATGTGAGTAACAACTCTCCTTCTCTGCAACCGTAGCAACTGGAATTATCGGCGGTAAACAGAAGCGGTGTGGGAGTGATAACTCCCAGAGCAGATAACTGGAAGTTGACTATCTTCTTTAATTCTTAATGTGCACGGTTAAAAGCAAGGCACTATCTAGCAGACCACAGGCGGCAGCATTCAGGCCCTGTGATCAAGCAATTGTTCCAGCAAACTCTCATATACACCTGGACTCTGCGACTTTTATGGTTACGTTTACTGTCTGACCGAAGTTGCCCTCTTTAGTAAGTCTCTTTACAGGATTTTCTCCAACACTCATAAAAACGAGGCCCTGCGGTCCTTTTTTTCTTTGCTATGGAATTCACGTCGCTTCCCTTCAAGAACCCAGCACACCATGGACCATGTGGATGTGCCTGCCTCCAGCTCTGTGGGCTGCAAAGGATGGCCTCAGATATACTTCGCTGCTCTGGGACTGGCCACCCCAGAGAGACGGTGTTTAACAAGCCCCTTCAAGTCTGCAAAGAAACCAGAAGGTCAGGAGGAGGAACTGTCCCAGGAGCCCTACGGTACCTGTGCTCCTGGGCCTGGACGCGGGTGAGCCCCGAGGGACAGAGACACTGGATGGAAAACTCCCAAGTGAAACCCACAGGCCTGAAGACAGCCAGAGGATTGGCCATCAGTCCAGCAGCAAAATGACCGGCTGCCAAAACAGTCTTTCTTTCAAAGAACTGCTTGGGTGGAACTTGATGAGAACATGGTTCCAAATGTGTGTCCCAAACATTTGCTGCTCCATGACTGGGCTGGAGAAATCAAGTTTGTCTCTATATGGGGCAGGGGTGGGGGTGGGAGAGGCTGAAGCCAATTCTGGAGGAATCTAAAGACCCCACCTGAAGGCCAAGCTTAGCTGTGAGGGTTCTGGGGTTGCTGCATTTAGCTGCAGGATAAGAGAAAAAGAAATCAGTCACCATAGAAATCACAAGCGCACAGGCCTCCTCAGCGAGCAGCTCCGGTCCTCCTTAGGGCCTTGGCTGCGCGGCACGGCGCAGAACCCGAAGGAAAAGCTGCTCTCTCCTGGCTGCACTTAATCCTTCTCTGGTCTCTAACCTCAGGCTCCCCGGCTCAAATACAGCAGAGGTCCCTCAAAGGGCTCACACTGATAGGCTCCTCATTCAAAGCTTAAAAAAAAAACAACTGTAGAAACCACAGGATAGAGGTCTTTGTGTGTCAGAAGCAGCCTGATTACACTCACCAGGGAAGAGACATGTGCATGGGACACCCCTGCTTGCTTGTTAGTTTGTGTACAAATAAAATAATGGCCCCACACGGCATTTCTTTTATCAATTATCCTTTCTCAGCTTCCCCTCCCCTTTGTTTACTAAACATTAGTGGAGAAAGGAGGATTAGGAAGGAAGTTACAAAGTCAATTCAACTGGCCTCACAGCCATCCCTGCACCCGTCTGGTGTTTACCTCTCAATTGGTCAGTTATGGTACGTGATTTTAGATCTGCTTAACAGAAACTGAGCTACCAGAAGGACCCCAAGAGACTGGGTATTCTGCTGAAGCACTTTGTCAGGGACACTTCAGATCAGCTCTGAGTCCTTGTGAAGTTTCAGCCTCCATTGTCCCCACCTCAGCTCCCTTAACCTTCATTACAGCTGATACAGATACTGATTAGGAATTGATCAAGGAGGTGACAGTGGAGCAGATCAGAGCCAGATTACCCAGCATGCAGGTCACATCAAAAAACACGCCCCCCCCCCTTAGCTTCAAATAAAATGTAAACTCTCCGGAAACATCTGGTAGTCACTGCTCTGCCACATCCCACCTGTTCAGGTAGATACACACCTGAGAAGCAGGATGTGGGGCGGCAACGCAGCACAGCAGAGAAAAGTAATCTGCCTGGAAAGCAGAAACCAGTCTCTGGGCGTCAGCTCCGTGCCTGGGCCTGAGTGCTCTCTCGGGCGGATTCCCCAAGCCGACCATATCTCCATTTATTAACTGTTTCACGAGAAAACCATAGACGTACCACACAGCAGCAAGTTGATGCCGGGACCAAAGGGGGTAACAAGGGATGGGCACTTTAAATTAGTGGTTCTCAACCTTCCTAATGCCATGGCCCTTTAATACAGTCCCTGTGGGTCGTGACCCATAGGTTGAGAATTGCTGCTTTAAATGAAAAAAAAAAAGGCACCTCACGCACAGCAGGGGGGAGGAGCATTACTTCCTCCTCTGTGATCACCCCTAGCAAGCAGCAAGCCTTGACATTTCAAGTTCGTGAGCCACGGGATTTCATGGCCCATATGCCTGTTTTTGTTGACGCCGTAACGTTAAAATTCATCCCTAATGTTCTTCTCAGTGTCCTCAACACTCCTATCCTCAACCAAGAATTGCCCCTGGGCTGTTTTCAGCCATCGTGAAAACGACACCCTTCCCTGGGAGCTCACTTGCTGGGGGCGTCTCAGTTATGTGATGAGTTCTCCCTTTTCTTCTTCTCTGTTAACTTTTGGACTTATTTCTTCACCAATCCACTGGAGAATATTTACTGAGGGCTGACTGCACTCAGCGCACTGTTTAAGGCCTGGGGGGGAGAAAGGAGTCATAAAAATAAGCACTCTGCTCGCACGGGGCCGGCGTGCTGGCAAGGGGAGGCAGGCCCTGTGTGGAAAGAAAAAAGCAAAGGAACATTCTATAGTCAGTGATCCAGGTTGTGCAGGAGACAGCATGGCAGTGGGGAGAGGCTGGAGGGGACTGGCATTTGTAATTTTAAGCAGAGACCTGTAGGAAGTGAGAGAAGTGTATCCCTGCCCATGTCTCCAAGGGAGGGCCAAGTCCAGCACCTGGGCTCATGCTTTAACTGGTGGGTGGAGGGCCATGTCCAGCACCTGGGGCTCTTGATGTGACTGGTGTGGAAGAGGCCATGTCCAGCACCTGGGGCTCATGCTCTAACTGGTGGTGGTTGGGGGGGGTGGGGCATGGCCAGGTGTGGTCATCCCTCAATCCCTTAACATCCACTCTGGACTCATCAACTGGAAAAGCAAAGCCAGTTTGTTGCTCAGACCCCTTCCAGCTTTATTCTCTCCTCTCCTGAGCAGTGAGGCACACGGGAGTGACCCTCCATGAGAACCCAGAGTGGGAAACACAGCACAGCAGTCAGGGCCTGGGCTGGGCACTCTCCATGTCCCAGACTGGATGGCACAAATTTGCATTTCCATTCTCTTACTCTTTTGAGCTCCTTATACATGTATAATGTATCTCAAAATTAAATTTATCTTTTCAAGAGTGAGGGAGTGATTGGTTTGCACACTGGAACATGACCTAGGTGAGGAGGTCAAGGGCGTGATGAGGATTGGCCAGCTTGGGTGGTGACAGGTACAAGAGACTTAATGCTGTTTCTCTGTTATTGTTTTTTTTTGGGGGGGGTATTATTAAAGAAGAAAGGATAAAGAAGAAAAGGGAATGGGAAGGAGAGGTAGAGGAGGAGGAGGAAGAGAGGATTTGATCAGTCACCCTCCCAAAACACAAAAGTGCCACAAAGATGCCTCATGGCCAGCCATCTGCTAACAGAAATTATATTTACGCTGTCCTCTAGGAGAGTAGGCCCCCAATACTGTAAAAATTATCACTGAATTAAACATCACAACATAATTATCTGGCTAGGTTTAAGACGTGGTCTTACTACTCCCAACTTTACACGCAGGTCAAGCGCTGGGGGAAAAGGCCAAGGATTTGCCACAAACAACTGCTTAAACACCCAGGGGAGGACTTACTGATCACCCATACCCAGGAAGCCCGAACTCCAGCCTAAGCCTTAAAGTCCTAGGTATGGTGCCCAGCCACCACTCGACTCTCATCTTCCCCATGGAACTTCAACCGTGCTGCAGAAATGTGTCTCCATCGAAAAGCAAGTCGATGTCTATCACAACCACAATGAGAGTTGTCCAAGGACACCACTGGGCAGACGGCCTTCCTGTGTATTCCAGCTCCAACTAAGCTGGGCTGGTTTTATGATTCCCTCTGACCTGAGTGGATCATTCCTGCCCACAACTTAATATTCTATTTCACATGATTCTCAAAAGCATAATTTTAGAAGCATCAAGAGCTTGGCAGCTGCCTCAGTGGGGATGTGTTTCATAAGGCCTTTGTCTTTGTGGGTACCAGCGGGAGGCCTGGTTCTTAGCAGATATGCAGGACAGGCATCCAGAGCCATCGAGGAAATGGAACCATCATGAGAAGCATCCTTTTCTACCATTTTTATCATAAAAACAGCAGTATTCAACTTGCTATATCTTATTTCTGTGGTGGGAAGTGGGCAGGTGAAAATGAGCTTTCTATGCTAATTCATTATGAAGAAAAACAGTAAACCTGAAACATTTAATCAGCATCTTGTAATGTGGGTCTTTGTGAAGGTCACACGCACACACTCACACACACACACAGCAAAATGAATCATATAACACCTTAAGCCTCGGGCGGCACCTGTGGTTCAGTGAGTAGGGTGCCGGCCCCATATACCGAGGGTGGCAGGTTCAAGCCCTAGCCCCGGCCAAAAAAAAAAAATTAACAACAAGAAGAACCCTTAAGTCTTGAAAATGGAAGCTGGCCCAAGAAGGCAGCTTTTCAAAGTGGGAAAGGGTGTGATGTGGAAAACTTTTTAAGCATTTTATTCTTGAAAATAGGAGATAAACTGCTAAGAATTTACATCTTACCTTAAATACTTCCATTGGAAGAGGAAATTTTGCAGCATCAATAAGGGATTTTTCCAGAGCACATTTCCAATCAGAGGCCGTCTTCAAAGGATAGATTTCTGTAGCAACAGCAAACCACAAACAAGTTTAAGGACTAAAGTCCTCTGTGGGTGGCTCTTTCTCCCATTTTCTCTTCTCAGGCTTTGCTAACAGCTCAGCATACTCAGAGACCGGCAGTTCACGCCCTGCCCGCCATAAACGGCTACCTGCCGTTAATTTTCTGAAATTAAATAGCAACTTGGGATTTTCCTGTCAGAAATGAAGAATAAGCTTAATAGGGCTCTTCTTCAGGGAGTATTTGCATGCATTTTGTTGCCATTCTGTAAGTAATTTGAAGGCATTAATCACATTAGCAAAACCTTCAGTCATCCATGGGCCAAAATTCCACCTCTCACCTGGGAAGCTAAGCCCGCCCTGGATGAGGAACCATTATCTGATACATTTCTAAACCACAAACAACTCTGGTCTGACATTTGCAGTTATTACAACGCATTTTTCACTAAATCACTAAGCTCTCCTGGGCTAAAAATAGTCCCTGTAAGTCAGAAAATTATTAAAAGGTAAATTAAAATTTACCAACCAAGTTTAATGTTTACACTTGAAATGTTGCTTAGCACACCACATGTTGCCCATATTTTCCCAAGGCGGGGGGGGGG